CTTTCAACTTATCTCCTTAGTACTATGTATCTCAACCTAGGACATATATCTTCACCATATGTCCCCAACTTTTTAACTTTACAACTATAGGCAACTTTACAACGACAATAACCAACTTTACAACTTTACAACTATATGCATCATAACAACTTTACAACTATAAGCATCATAACAACTTTACAACAATAGGCATCTTTACAACAATAAGTAACTATAATCATCACAATATCAACTTAATGCAACTTAATAACTTTAAACAACTTTACAACAATAATCTACTTCAACTTATACATCTTGAATTATTAATAATTCAATGATAGACAACATGTAAACAACTTAGTTTCATCAACCACACAACCTATAAACAACTTAAGTCAACAACTACTTAACTCATCTTCATCAGGCAACTTAACAACTTTACAACCTTATAAACAACTTTAACAATATACAACATATTCGACACAAATTATAAATCAACCAACATATTTAAAGTTTATCTATCATGCCAACTTATAAAATGCAAATAACATAAATCAACTTAAGCACGCAACAACTCAACCATTTCAACAAAAAAACACAATGCATAAAGCTTCCCTAACCTGAATATTGGCTCCGAATAGCCAATAATTTGGGAATAAGAAAAACTTTCCTCCAAGCTCGACTCCCGAACTTCAATCCTTCAAAATCAAGCTTAGCGGACTAGAGTCCTTCTCTCTAAACTTCTCTCCCTCTTTCTTTCCCTTTCTCTCCCTCCTTAACGCCTATTTATAGAGGTCAGGAGTGCCCAGAACGGCCCGTTTCGAATCCGGAACGGCCCATGGGCTCCTTCGTCATGTGTAAAATTCACATGCCAAACAACCTGTTTTGAAATCAGAACGGCCCGTTCTGACACATCTAGAACGGCCCTTTCCCAAACCAGAACGACCCGTTCTGGAGTTTAATTTAACTCATAACAACCACGTTTGGAACGACCCGTTCCAGTCTAGGATTTATAGGCTAATTTAGTAGTTTGGAACGGCTCCTCCAGTTTGGGAACGACCTGTTCTGCGCTACTAAATCACCCATCGCCTTCTGAAAAACTTACTACGTTATAGTTGTCATATGACCAAATGTAAATATTAATCAACATTAAATTATTTTGACCTAATTAATAGTATTCAATTTAAATTTTACATATGTAACTATTTTAAATTTAAAATAGGTAAAAATATATTTTTCGTTACTTATATTATTTATTAGATTTAATTTAATCTCACTTTAATTAATTGAATCAATTTAGTCCCACATCTTTAAAATATATCTGAATGTTTGATTTGTTATTCGCTCCGTCTAAATACTTAACAGATATGACATGTATCATGTCACGTGTCATGTTGTCATGCTACGTAGCATAACAACATGACTACATGATGTTGGGATTCAAACAAGTCCCACATCGATAAAATAATACAACAAATAACAACTTATATAATACAAACATACTTCAATGATCGAGAGGCCTTTTGAGTGATGACCAAAAGCAAAACCGTGAGGGCTAAGGCCCAAAGCGGACAATATCTCATCATTGTGGAGTATGTTTGTGTAATAACCTTATAAAAATATTTCATAAAATATCCTCTCAGACAAATACCATAAAATAACCCCATCACATGACATGTGTTATGGTAACATAACACGTGTCATGACAACATGACACGTGTCATGATACATGTCACATCTGTTAGAACATCTACAATGGGAGTTGCTTATAAACAACTCTCATCCATTTTAAATGGGTTTCACTGTGCCACGTCACTTATAAGAAATTCATACTATATTTTTATAATTTTTACTCCAATGGAAATTGCTTATAAGCACCTCTACTTTTTTATAACTCATACTACACTTTTTGACAACTCACATTACACTTTATGATAAATTTTTAAAAAATTAATTATTATGGATAATATATTTTCTCAACGTCTCTCTTTTCTTTCTCTTCTTTTCTTTCTCTCATTCTCTCTCATTCCCTCTTTCTCTCTCAAGGTCTCTCTTTTCTTTCTATTCTCTCTCGTGTCTCATTCTCTCTTGTGGCTGGTGGGTGGTGGGTGTTGGTTATGGCTGGTGGCTAGTGGGTCGTGGGTGGTGGGCGACGACGCTGGTGCCGGGACGACGACACTGGTGTGACGATGCTGGTGCAGGGACGATGGCGAGAAGAGGGTTGGTCCTGGTGCGACAGCGCTGGTGCGGGGACGACAACACTGGTGTGACAGTGTTGGTCCAATGACAGTGGCCACGGGGACGACGACGAGAGGAGGGCTGGTGGTACTAGTGCGACGGCACTGGTGCGGATGAGCTTGGAATCTTCATGCACGTTCCTCATTTCTTTGACGGTGTTGGTCCGGCGATGGTGGCCACGGGGACGACGACATTGGTGCCGGGACAACGACGAGAGGAGGGCTGGTGGTGCTGGTGCGGATGAGCTTGGAACCTTCGTGCACATTCCTCGTTTCTTTGATTTTTGTTTGCCAAACTTTCGTGCACGGTCCAGCTTGGAACCGGATGAGCCAATCACACCTCTTCATTTGGAATTTCATAGTGCTAAGCACCATTCCTTGCTGAAGTAATGGAGCAAAAAAAAATTTGAACTTTTATTGCCACGTTAGATTACTCCAATGACAAATTCTTATAAGCACTGTTGCTTAGCATCCCTCGCTGGAGGTGCTCTTAAGTATTTAAATGGAAGAAATAAAATTTAAACATTAAGATATATTTTAAAGATATGAAATTAAATTGATTCAAGTAATTAATGTGAGACTAAATTAATATTAATAAATAATATAAGGAATAAAAAATATATTTTTACCTTTAAAATATAACGAGGGAAAGTTTTATTTGTCATAACAATCTTATTTGATTAAAGATTACATATTATATCTCTCCTAAATGATTCTTGTAACCTCGTATGAAATGACAAAAATTCTAATATGAAGCAGTATGAAAAGTGGTACATCAATGAATCACTATTTTTAACCGTTAGATTTAATAATAAAATAATCAATGATTCAGATTTGTTACCTATAACTTGTTTATGAAAATTTTTGTATTTTGCAGATTAGTCCCTGCTTAGGGTTACTGTTTTGGCTGCCGGTGGGTGGTGAGGACAAGGAAGACGACAGTGAGACCGTCGAGGGCGAACCAGGGGCAAGGGGGTCTAATTTGGAGGTGGCGAGGTTTAGGGTTTAGGAGAGGCCTTGGGAGAGTTGAACGCCGTGGACGACAGGAAGGGGGTGGTAGCGAACAAAGGAGGGATGGGGAGGCCGGTGGCACCAAGGAGGAGGAGCTCGCGCCTCCCCTGCCACCGCGCGAAGAAGGAGGCCGCACCTTCGCTACCATCACGCGAACGAAGTCGCGCTTCCACTGCCACCGCGCGAAGGAGCACGCGCCTCCGTGCAAATGAAATCGCGTTTCTGCTGCCACCGCGCGAAGGAGGCCGCGCCTCCGCTGCCACTGCGCAAAAGAGCCCACACCTCCGCTACCACCGAGCGAATGAAGTCGCGCCTTCACTGCCACCACTATAGAAGTAGACGACATCTCCGCTGCCACCGTGCCTCCGCTGCCACCGCACCTCCATTGTACTTCTGCATATAATATAAAGACTATTTTACAATTTTAAACAAGTTAGAAAACCTGTTATTGCAGGTTATTTTATTGCCTTATGAATGAGACATTGATTGAACTGCTTCGTGTTAAAACGGTTCATGAAAAGAAAATTGTGTATTGTAAAGAAGTAACTTTGGGTGAATGGAATCCTAAGTTAACATTAGAATAGTAGATGAATATTAATTTTTTTCATTTCACCTAATTTTTGGAAACTTAAGTGTGTGGCTGCCCAGATTGTTAGGTAACTTCCCGGCAAAGTTACCACTGCCGAGAAATTTAAGGTTTTGTGCCTCTGCCTGTTTTCAACTTTCAAGTCCACTCCACTCCCTAATCTGCGTCACCGTATTCCAAGTTTTCAGAACAAATTTCGTAGTCGGCAGCGTACAAGGTAAGAAAACCTACCATGTATTATATTATATTATAACAATCATTTTCAATCATGACAAACGTCTCTCCTTTCTAAGAAAACTTAATTAAACAGGAAAAAAAAAAACCTTTCGAGACCATCAAACTGGTACTTCAGCCAACATTTTTGTTTAATGAGACCCATTTATTGTCAAGAATGAATTTTTTTTTAATGAGTTTTACTTAGTTGTCGGTTCAATTTTAATAAATAAATTTTTTAGTTAAATTAGATATTATTGAATTTTACATATCATTAAATAAATTATAATATTTGGTATGAAGATTTTAATATATTATTAATTTTGATAATCGTATGATTCCATACTTATCATTTATTTATTTACATAATTACATGTTTTAAGAGAATTAGCTCAAGACTTCAATTAAATCTTCTTTTTAAAAAAATAAAAACTATTCTTTTTATCATTTCTTATTTTATAAATACAAGAACAATTTTCTAATTAAATTTATATTTTTTTCCCAAATCAAACCAACTCACTCATTTTAAAAAAGGAAACAATTTAAACTCTAATTATTAAAAGTGAGTTTTATTATTATAATACTTGATTTGAATAAGAGTGTACCTTGTAACGGTGAAAAATATTTGTGATCTCCTTTATAAAGGAAATAAATCACAAGTATTGATCTTACTTCTCACTCCATATATACCTTTTATCCTATAAATAGGCTCATAACCCCTTCTCTTTCCTTCCCGACCAAAACGTCTAGCCTCTATTTTCTCTCTGTAATTTCCTTCTTCAGTCTTCAGCATCACATGTGTGCATGTACCTTCTTCTTCTTCTTCTTTGCAGGGCTTGGCTAATGGAATATAGTTGCAGAGAGTATGCAGAATCTGTAAAGCTCAGGAGGGATAGCACCTTATACTGATCGTGCTCATATATACTTGGCGCTATCTATCCTGAGCTTCATGGCTTCTTCATACTGTTATAACATCACACCTTCATGCATCTCTCACTTCCTTTCGATGTAGAATATTATTTTAATACTCTCCATGAAGCAGAAACCAAGATCTTGATGGTAATCAGGATTCAGGTGTCATACTCAGTTCAACTTCATCAGCAAGCTAAATTAAACATGTTTTAAGTTATAATATTTTGGTTACTACTTATTTACTTAATTACTAGTTAATTTTGGAATTTCTTTGCCCTCTATCTCAGGCTATATTGGCGATTGTTGTTTTGGTTGATTTATGTCAAATCAAGCAAAGTGCGCCAAATGAATGGTTTGTACTTCTCAGATTTTTGTTTTTCTCTTTATTTCTTTTCCTGTTATTTGTTTTAACTAATTGCTATTAAGTTGTGTTTCTTCTCACTCACTTATTATTTAGTTTTATGCTTGTTCTCATTCCTCATAGTTGGATCCGTAGAAGGGTTGATATGGCTGAATGGCTGATCCTTTTCTCACCGTCAATGCTATAAGCACGCGGGGTCACGGAAATTAAAGAATATGCAGAGAAAATTTTCATAGCATATCCGAGATTCTTGTTCATGGTACGGCATCCAAGAATTAGGGGTTACAGATTTCTGTATTAGTATGTAATTGTTCAATTTTAATTTTCATTTACGATCGAGTCTTTATCTCTATTTTTTCATGATAATTTTTTTTTTACCATGAGAATCAAACTCAGTAACAAGGAGTTTACATATTCATATACCTTGTTCAATCAAGAAGTAGATTTATTGATTTTTTTCATGGTATAAAATAGTCTTTTGTAATAATTATAAATACAAACACACATTTGGAAGAGTGAGATTCTCATTTTTTTCTACTACTTTAATTACACACTTTTTAATATTTTCTCTTTTTTTAAATGTATATTTCATATATTATTCTCAAAATTTAAAAATTCATCTATCAACTATATTATGTTACCCTCTTTTTATATTTTTTTGTATATTGATTTTTTAAATTCATTTATATTGTTGACCATAAATCTAAAATATAATTTATATAATTAAAAATACTTATAAATTATGAATTTTAGTTATATAAAAACAAACATATTTATCTATAAAATACTGATATATAAGTATGCTTGTTTATTTTACGTATGTTAGTAAGTTATAGTTTTATTTTTAAAAACATTTATAATTAAGAAGTAAAACTTGCTATATAAAATACTTTTTCAAACGGTGCTAATGTTCTTTTTAACTTGAGTAAAAGCAATATTTTGATAAATTACAACTTATTATTTATTAAAATAATTCACAAAAATGTAGGTAATATATTGTAACAAAAAAGTAAGAATATATCAATTATCTTTCTCTCTCTTTATTTATCTATCTATATATATATATAA